TTCCTAAACCTTACCCCCTCTCCACTGGGGGAACCCCACACAGGCCCCTGAACTCACCCTGCCAGCCCCCATCAGGAAAGCATGCCCGAGTATTTGTCCCACAGAGCATCTCTCCAGCCATATCCCCAGGCACTCTCTCTCAGCCAAGTGCTAGATGCAGCCAAGTGTGGCACAGCACCATTCAATTAGAGCACATTCTGTCCCCAGGTGCAGAACCAAGTGGGAAGAGAATTAGGCAAGATGAAAGACCTGCCAGATGGCCCCAGAGATAGCAGAGAGGGAGAGGGGGTCACAATGGGGGGCATCCTGAGAAGGCAGATCAGGGGGGACAAGTGGAAAAGAGCTGATTTATGTTTCCTGGGCTGGGCGGTCCCTGGAAAAGGGGCTCAAGGCAGGAAAGGCTGAGCTGAAGGGAAGCCAGGCAGCATTTTCTACCCAGGTGGGAACATAGAGAGTGGATCCAGACCTCTGAAGAGAGAGGGGAACCAGGAACTCAGCAGAGGGGGAATATAAGGGGCAGGGGCAGAGCACATCTCCTAGCAAAGGGCTCTAGGAAGAGGGGGACAGATCAGGCCAAAAGATATCTTGACAGGAGAGAAGGCCGTGGGCGTAAGAGAGGCTCTTGGTGGGAGACAGTCATCCTTCTCATGAGTTCATTCAGGCCAGGCCCATGCTACAGGTGTTGGCCCGGGGGCATCAAGAGCCATAGTATTAGCCAAAGCCTGTTTTCACTAGCACAGCTGGTTTTGATGGAACAAGGATTGTTACATCAGTACAAAACACCACTTTACTAGGCTGTCCACGTCCACACTAAGAACACAGACAGCACAGCAAAGCCCACTAGCATCCCCGAAGCAGCAGGGTGGCTCCTGCTACAGACACAGGCCTGGTCTATGCTGGAAAAAGCTTTGCTGTCAGCAGCCTCCTTCCTATCTACAAAAGATCACTTCTGCCAGAAGAGTTTATACCATCCCCAAAGGGATGCAGTCTCCCAAAAGACCAAGCCAGCATGCCTGTGTCTATGCTACAAGGATGTATTTGGTAGCTGTGTTGGTCTGAGACAAAAAGAAATGCAAAACTTTGCAAGTTTATTTTCTACCTATGGGGACTTTTACCATTTTCCCTCAGCTTGAAAAAGGGTGCATGTGCCCAAATGCTTGCAAAAAAAGATAATTTTTTTGTAATGTCTTAGTTAGTCTAATAAAAGGTATCATCTCTGAACCAAGAGTTCTAGAGTTTTGCATTTCTTTGCATCTATGCTAGACATTTCAGTTGCCTAGCTGTATTGGTCAGGGACCACAACTCTTCACCTTCTGACCAACAGAGCTATAACCAGCAGCAGACTACAGCACAGGCCCGACTCTACCACATGCCTGTTGCTACCATCGGTGCTCAGGTCACCCTGAGAAGTGGGCATAAGGGAACCAAGGCGAAATGAGAAGAAAGCCCCAGCCATCTCCAGGGTCGAGAGCAGGGGACTCCCAGCAGAGGACGAATAGCGTGTAGCATCAGACCAGGAATATTAGAGCAAGAACCCTCAGATACAATGACTAGGAGCCGAAAGTTCACCTGTAGTAGGAGAAGGGCAAAGGCAAAGAGATGGAGCCTTCTGCTCCTGCCCCAGAAAGGAGCAGCTCACTAGCAGCTTGGTGGAAGGTAGTTGGGAGCCACAATCAAAAGGAAACGGAGTGAAACCAGCTCTAGGGACTGAGAGACCGAGTGGGGCAAGCCCAAGCATCAAGGCTTAGTGGTGCCATCACTACAGCAGCAATGCCAACTCTCACAAAACAGTTGTGAGATTCCCGATTTCCAAATCAAATTAACCCTAACTCATGATCTCAGGATATAACCCTCAAATCACAGGACTTTTCTACTGGCGCATATAGAGTGCACCCAGCTGGTAAGTTTGTGGAGGGGAAAGGAAGTGGGCGCAGATCGAGGCCCCTATGGTGAGGGAGGGAGTGGGGTAGAAGCTGGAGTTAATGGGGCGCGCTGGCCGCGCAGCATGTCCCCTGACAACAGGAAACATACTGGCATTGTGTGGCTGAGCTCCTGGGGCAAAGGCACCAAGGCACAGAGCTCTGAGCCTGCAGCCTCTCTCTGCCTCGTGGGGGGCACATGAACTCCATGCCTCCCCGGGGGTGTGCACAGCTGTGGGTAGCTGCCCCCCACCCCTGGATGACCTGCCCTGGCTCTGGGGCCACATTTATCCCAGCCCCTGCCTCACTCCTCCTCTCACTGCAGGGGCCAGATCAGGGGCCAGATCAAGGCCCCTTCCCCTCCACTTACCAGCTGGGTGCTGTCCCTCTGTGTGTCCGTGTCCCTCACCCCCAAGCCACAGCCCCCCAGCCTTGCTGCTGCCCCTCACTCCTGACCCACAGTACCCCACATCCTGCTAGTACAGGCAGGCCCCCCCCACCCTCATCCCCCAGCACCTTCGTAAACAACCCCTGACACACGCGCACACTTCAAAAATAGCATCGCATGATTTACATGCCAATCTCTTGATTTTTTTTTTTTAAGTGTTTGTCTCATGACTTGGCATGGTGGGGTTGCAACGCAGCTACAAGGAGCCAAGCCCCGGAGGCAGGAACAGGAACATTCCTCCGCCTCCCCAGACCCAGAAAACCTGGCAAGGGGCGTGCTGTGTGTGCACCGCACCGCCCTCCCGCCCGCCCGCCTG